ATTATTATTAAAAAATTAGTCATCATCATCATCATCATAATACTAATAATAAAATTGAAATAAAACATTTAAAATTAAAAAAATATATATAAACCTTTTTATTTTTTGAGAAATAGGAAAAGGTTCTAAGTTTATATTCAAATTTCACTATTGCTTATGATCGAAGGTTTCTAAATAACACAAAAAAAAAAGCACTTTCTCCCCAAAAAAAATAAAATAAAATAAAATCGCTGAGAATTAAAAAATTAGTATTTTAAATTTGTTTAAAAAAAAAAAATGCTTCCTGCGGGAATCGAACACGCGATCTTCCGCTTACTAGGCGGACGCTTTACCAACTAAGCCAAGGAAGCTTGCACAATGATGCTGTATTTTAATTAAATAATCACATTATTTTAACAAATTTGTCCAACCGTATTATTATCATTATTTTATGACATTTTTTTTTGGTATTGAAATGATGCTTTCTACAGAAGTAAGATGGGAAGGAAAATAAAGGGAGATTAAGCTAAATTTCCCTTAAATTCCTTTTTTAATCCTTACGTCTCTCTTCATTTCAAATTGAAAATAAAAAAAAAAAAATTAACTTCAAATAGATCAACTCCAGCGGATTAGATGGTACTTGTAAATTTCTCTTGACTTTTTAACGCCTTCAAGTCTTTTAATGTTTCAGCACTCGCAACGGATAAGAAATCATTCCTCTTTTTCACTTTTTAGTTTAAATTCTTTTCCTTTATCAATTTGTTCATGGTTTCGGCTTCGACATACCTCTACCATTTCAGACAAACTAACCAAAAAACCCATTGTTCTTCAAGAAAATGATTTAAATGAACAATTTGTGAAAGGAAGTGGAAATGGGGGTCAGAAAGTCAACAAGGTCATTTGAAATATTACGTCTATTTTGTTAGTCTTGTCTAAACCTCAGTGCAATCTACATTTTATAAGAAATCCAACCCATGGTTATCCCTTGAATGATTTTAAAGTTTAAGGAAATAACCAAAAATAATTTAAAAATACACTTTTTTGAATCTTCAGTGAAAAAGTCATCCTTTTTCTACTTTTTTTATTTGATTTGATTTCATATATATTCAATATACATTTTTCGTTCTCTCTCTCTCTCATTCTCTTTTTCTAGTCTTCAAACTGTGTTATATTAACGCACCTTCCTACCAACATTCAAGTTCGAAGTCATGATACCCGTTCATTACACCAAAATCGTAGCATTGCTCGAAAAAGACTAATTGAAAAATTGGATTTATTATGGAATGGAGACCAAAGTAAACTTCAACAAAAAATTAAAGTTTTAAGGAAAAAAAAAATGAAAAAAACTCAGCGTTCCAAGAAAAAATATGGCTCATCAAATGAACCTTCGGATGAAGAAGAGTTCACTTCAGATCATACACCTTCCAGTACTGATAATGAAGAACAAAGTCCTACTTCCAATGAAAATATTAGTATTTCTGAAAAAAAACAAGTTTCGAAAGAGAAATAATGTATTTACACATATTGTACTTTTTTTTTTTTTGGAATGTTCTAATGTACAGATGGTAACCATCAAATCATATTTTGTCATTGACTTAAACTATCCATGCTTTTTTTTAATTTTAAAAAAATCGGGCCACCTAATGGAGAAATATAATCAATTAAAAAATGAATCCCATGTTGCGAAAAAGTTTTTCATCATTTATATTCATGAAAGTTTAACTCGTATCTCCCTCCAGTATTTCTTTATGACCTAAGACAAGTATTTTCATTTTAAATATCTTTAAAAACAAAAGTTTTTATTTTTTTTATTTTTTTTTTTTCAAATTAAAATGGATTTCTTTTCTGAGAAAACATTTCTTTTGCATTAGAATTCGCATAATTGTTTTTTCTTTTTTTTCTCTTACGAGTCACCTATCTTACCTTCTTAATAATCTTTATTTAAACTTTTGACGAGTTATACTTTTCAAAAGAAGTTTGAGTTTTTAAAATATAAAGGCTTTTTCCTAAGTCTATGTGTTGGTTGAGGTGGTTCACAAAATGTCCTTCCCAGTTAAATAAATGCAGTGAAAAACACAACACCGTTTGAAGCTAAGTTCAGCATTTTTACATTTTTCCTGTATCGCTCGATACTAGAGGTTTTTTTCTTTTTTTCGTTTCAATTCGAAGGGAAATGAATTTTCCACTTTTTTTTTTTTTTTTTTTCTATCGATGGGTCAAAGTCGTGCACTGACTAGTAGTGTATAAATGTACATTTGATGACAAGTGTATACCTTTTCTTTATTGGACCATATGAAGGTTAATTCAATCGATCGAGATAAACGTTGCAGTACTAAATCATTAAAAACTAATGCCTCTTCCATTCGCTTCTCTTATTTTTCAAAGCTGGTGACATAATACGCGCTACCTATGTTTACAGTTGGGAAATTCAGGTCAAATCTTAAATTGAGAAAAAAATGAAAAATTAAAAAAAAAAAATCCTTGTTTTTGAAATTTTTTGTTTTACTCCTCATTTACAAGACATCAACACATTTTGTTGTTGTTGTTGTTGTTGGTACTCGTGCGCTTTCATTCAAATACGCATTGTTTTGATTCCCAAGCTACTTTTTATTGTGGAAAAGTATAATAATAATGTTTAAATAGTAGAATAAGAACAATTTAAGAATATTGTTTATTTTTGTTTTTATTTTTTCTTAGGATGTTAACTTCCTTGGATAGGATAATCGTTTGAATCAAGCCTGGTAAAACTGATTTGAGTATATTATTTTCTTTTATTTCTTTGAATTTGCCTTTACGTTTATTAAAAGAAATATGCTCACAGAAATGTTCACCCATAATTTTCTCTTCATATTATTGTCCTAGTTTGTTTTTCCCCGAACTCCCTCCTCGTAAATTTTAAATTTCTCTAATAGGCTCTTCATTTCATTAAGCGAGTTAAATTATGGGTGAACATTTCTGTGAG